GCAAGGAAAAAAATTAAGTTTAATTGCAGGTGTCATAACAGTATTACACTTTGGTTCACATCAAATCATGGCTGACGCAAAATAATCCCGGAATCTTCCCTTCCGATTAGGGCATTTTGATACGAGACTGGAGCTGAATTTTTTTATGAGATGAAAAACAACATGTGAACTTCCTGTATTGACCAGATTTATTAAAATTTAGGGCGTGCTGATTTTTCTGTATACTGTCAAGAGTGGGGAGTGATTAGGCCATAGACTAGATTTTCAAGCACCTGCTCGACTTCGACCGAAACAAACTTGCGTGCCTTGCTGGATGGCTATGTATTTTTTGGTACTAAAATCTTTATAAAGAATGGTTTTACAAGATCTGAAAAGGAAACTTCTCAGAAGTTTGTTTTGAATTAGTTACATCTACTCAAACTTGCGCATTTTTGGTAAGAATATATAGCAGAAATTAATACTGTTGTGACACCTGCATAAACAAGAAGCCGACGTCAGACAAAGCTTAAGCTGTAAGTAGGCTGCTATTACTTATCATTTATGTACAAGTAAGTGTCACGCATTCTTTTAATGAGGGTTACGCTTTCAAATCTTATCATATCATGTTCTGTCAAACTGCAGATCAAATTTAATTCTGTCAACCACAACAGCAAGTGAAAACATCCTTGTCTGTCACTGCAGATCAAATTTAAGAGCTAGCCTACCAAAGAAACGGGTAGTTCGAATTGTCTCTGTACTTCTTTTCCATATAAGAATGGAATTGTTTAGTGATTTATGTTGTACATATAGATAATTTAGCATAATTTACATATATTTCTTTATTAACATTCCATATATAGTTAAATTGGCATAATTTAAGAATTAATTTCTAAAATAGCAGTTTATAAAATAAAAACAACTAGATTGAAACATTTCTCAGGAAGTGGTATTGGATTGGCTATTTATTTATAGTCCTAGGATGAAAATCAACATGATTTGTACTCCGGCAATGACATGGCACTCAGAAGAAAGCTGGCTGAAGTGAATGTGGAGAAGAACAATGGAACAAGAGAGATTCCAGCTGGGTTGGATTAGCTGGGCATCAGCAGGGGCATTAGCCAAAGACAGAGGCAGGTGAAGCTTGTGTAATGGGGCATTATGTACCTGTATGAAGGGTGTAGTATATAACAGTTACATGTACTTGTATTTTACAGTTTTAACTTTAATTTTCTCTGCAGTAAGTCTTTCACATCTATTGAAACTTAATGCTTTGATTGGGGTTCAAGTTGAAGTAAAACTATAACATAATCGTATTAATTTGTCTACTCAGATTTTATTCACTGTAGGACCAGATCATCAAAATACATGTACTGTCTTATATTGCAGATCATGAGATGTATGGATATTGTCCTAAGTAAGAACTAACCTGGCAATGTTGGAATGAAATTTACAGGTAGAAGGGAATCAAGCGTTGAAGCGAGAGAGATCGTCACCTGAAAAGGCCATGTGCCCTGTTGGCTGTTGCGAATATGAATGTAAACAAAATGAAAGAAAGTCCAGCTATAGGCTTTTTAAAAGCGGTGAGTGCTGACTAATCATAAATGTATATGTAAGCGACTTACATCATTCAGATAACATCTCTTAAATCAGCTGTCAGTTTATTGTAAATTGAGCTAGAATTAAAACAGTTCGAATTGCCCCAGACGGCTATCAGAAACCATCTTCAGACCATGTAGTATGCACATTGATGCATGCATTATAAAACTAACCTGTCTGATTAAAAGGACAATCATTTCATTTGATTGTACTGACAGATTAAGGAAATAAACATTTGAACCATGAGTCCATGACTAATAAATTCTCTGTCATCCACTGGTATGTCCATATCAAAAAAAAATATATATATATATACATAATCTGTCAGACCTTCACTGTGGTCCTCCCCTTGTATATGATATAGTTACGTCTGATTTTGGTGGAAAAAAATAAATAACCATTCTTTGATCATATTTATACATATATTCTGTCCTGTGAATGCATGAATTTGATCTGAAAAATTCCCAGACCCCTCCACTACCATTGTCTCAAGCCACAGTCTGGAGTTCGCATATAGCTCTCTCCTACCCGTGGCTGCTTGATCACAAAAAGTGTCGTAATCTGGAATATTTACGCCTCTCTATAATGACGTCATATTCAGTTAGTGGCAGGTTTTGTTTCCATCGCAATTGAAATCAACAACTGATGTCAACAGTATACAAGAAATATTTCCTTTACTGCGATTGGATATTGAAAGGTCACAATTAAGTTCATCTTCCGACTATGCTTTACTCGCATTGGTCAAAATTTTAATGAGCTACGAAGAATTCTCTCGTCGTTCAACCACGGCCAGAATGGGATAGGATCGTACATTTTGGCCGTGGTTAGCGACGCTGCTCGAATACCTTTTTATGAAAAGGCTGTGACTTTAATATGGTGAAAAATGCCTTTCCTAGCCAAACATTTCTCATCTACTCCTCACACCTTTGTACATGCCATAAACTTTCACAACATGATACATCCAAGCATTTATATTTTTAGATTTGTATGTCAATCTGCCACTGATTGAAAGAAAATTCAAGATAGAAAATGGATCAGCTGACCATTAAATTCTGTTTGAAAGTGGTGCAAGAGATACCTGATGTTTCATTTCAAAAGGAAGAATTTGATGGTAAGGTTACTGAGGCCTTAATAAAAATCATTTTAACAACGAAATGCTTTCTTTGAATGTTAGAATGGTAATTAATATTGCAACCTAATTTACGAACCAAATCCGAAAATCTTGAGTTTTTTTGGGTTATTTGTCAAAAATCAGGTGAAAAGCATGACCCACCGGGTCATAAAAAATAATCAGGTTACGGGTTTAAAAATCGGGTGAGTTGGCAACTATGCATAACCCATGTTAGCGGGATATGCATTTTTTTCTGCAACATCTGCAACATAAAGTCCCATTCTAACAAAACAAAGAAAGGCGATTTATTGTTTATATTGATTGATCCTTTAAATCTGGGAGGTGTTCTACAGTGTAGCTGCTATGCTGCCACTATGTAAAGCAATGCTTTTGATTGTAGAGCTAACCTAGCTGCTACATAGGGTAACTTAAATTAGCACAAATATTGAATGCTTAGTACCAAATTCAAGATGTCCTTATTTTGCAACTTCACAGCACACCAGATTTTAATTAAGAATAGGAGAATACTTTCTACATCTTACTGAATTAAGTTAATTTACATATGCATTTATTTGAATGACATTTTTTTGTTCTGAATATTAGTTTCTACTGATACAATTTTATCCCAAAATGTAGACTTAATTAGCAGATAAGCTAGCTGACCATTCAATAGAGGTACCAAGACATTTTTTTACCTAGCTGCTTATATGTATATACATAGGTTAGGCACTATGCTTTTGAACATAGTCCTGTAGAGGTGATATGCTTAGTATAGCTGTTTGCTGTCTGATAAGATAATATTCAGTGGATGTAAATATTGAAATAAAATACTTTGTAGTCTTTATTAACAATAGACAACCTAAGCATTTGCAAGAAGTAAAATTCACCTGTGATGTCATTATTTTGTTAGAGCGCTCCATTACTTTTCAGGAATGGAGAGTTGCAAATTTTACCAATAACGGAATTTCTTTACGTACTAATTTTCCTTTCCATGCCTCTGCCAGGGGAAGAACTTAGAAATTTTTTTTAGAAGAGTTTCAGAAATTTTCAGAGTTGATTTTCACCTTGTGAAAATGTTATTGCCCATGGTAAGAATCGAACCCGGTACCCTTTGCTTTGTAGTAGGGTACTCATTTCACTGAGCTATTTATTATCGAAGCTGTTGGGAAACACTGGATGAGAATAACTTGGGTACACTTTTTTGGCTTACTTCCTATAGTATATAAAAAAATAAATACTACTAATATATAATGTCTATTTACACTATATTATATAAATATTCTTTATTTTATATAAACAAACAATAAATAAAAGCATTGATTAAAATGGTGGAGTTTAAGAAGGTTATATACTGTAGCACTCCATTCCTTAAAGTAATATGGGCCTCTGTTTCTCTCCATTTTTTTTAGGAATGGAGTGCTACGAGTATATTAACCCTTACATATATATAAAATACAAGATTACTGTCTTATAGTATATAAAAAAATAAATACTACTAATATATAATGCAAACAATAAATAAAAGCTCCATTTTTTATGGGCCTAATTTTTTTTAAGGAATGGAGTGCTACGAGTATATTAACCCTTACATATATATAAAATACAAGATTACTGTCTTGAAATATAAGCGATATCTGGCCGAGGGTAAGAAAACATGATAGGAGCGAGGCTTGCCAAGCCCTCTTACATTTTGGACCTGAGCCCAAATATTGCTTATATTTCAAGACGGTTATCATGTATTTTGTTATCCTGCAACATATTTATGCCCCCCTTCGAAGAAGGGAGGGCATATTGCTTTGCTGCTGTCTGTCGGTCGGTTCTTCTTGTCGGTCAGTTTCCGTTCAATTCTTTCTAGTTCAGTCGCTACACAAAGATCTAACGAAACCCCATTTGTAGGTCCTTTTTCATCCACCACCGCATTGGCTTTAGAATCTTCGGTTCAGATTCTCGTTATCAAACTTAAGTTAACCGAAGAAAAGCAGACAGCTATTCGGGATGTCATACAGACTGATCTTCCCCCAAACGCTGAAGGTGTTTGTGTAAGGTGCTTTGGGAAGGTTGAGAAAGTGCTGAAGTACCAAAAAGAAATAAAAGACATACTGAAAACATTCGAAGAGAACATGAAAAGAAACAGGGCCAAAACGCCAGGATCCTCCACCCGTAAAAAAAGAGGTCGGGCTTCTCCCAAGACACACGAACAAGTAGGTCAAATTTAATGAACTAGGCTAATTCACTTGTGTTCTTTAACACAGAAATTTAAAGCAGAGTTAAATTTTCACATAGTAGAATATAACAGCTGCAGAATACATAGTAATTTCACAGCAGTCTTAGTGATTGTCCAACAGACACGTGGATTTTGTAGCCTATAACCCTAAAAGATTTTTACCTTATTTTTTAGTTTTAAGTAATACATATTCCCAATGTAATTAAAATTAGATCTTTGATCCGCTCCAGTTTGATCGCCGGAGTGGGTCAAAGATCTTATTTTAATTAGACTGACATATTCCATTGTTTAATTATTTTCTTTTGTAATTAGGTGACCATTCACAGACCAGCTGTTGAGCATGCCACTGCTACATGTGTTTCTGAGACTCGCTACAGGCCTATAATGCCGCAGCCACCACAAACTGAGGGTATGATGCAATTACTAAAATAGTTATGAATTAATGCCTATGTTTTGGACAAATAAACATGATAAAAAATGTTAATCTTAATGATCTGGACAGTTTACTTCAAACTGTTTGACATAAATTAATCTTATGCCCTGTTTACACAGAGAGTTTGATTCCAATCAAAGGTAAAGTTACTGCGAATAAGCTTCATATGGAGAATTTAATGCAAATTAGTTTAATTTGAATTAGTTTACTACCTATTAAATTACTTTGCATTAGCTATTGTGTGAACGCAATTCAATTCGCATCAGTTTGATTCGCATTAGTTTACTTCGCATTAATTTACTGCGAATTAAACTCTTCATGTGAACAGGGCAATAGTTTCTCATTATCAATGGATAATCAGAGTCAAACAAATTTTAAAGAAGTCAACATCTAAGCATCACAATGCATCATTATTATTATCATATTAAAAGTGTAATATTCTGCATTTTGCAGGATCATTACAAGGCTGCAAAAGTTTTCCAGATATTACGGGCCATGATACTTTAGAGGTAATGCCATTATTGTGTAAATGCTTTATTTGTTACATTGGTGAAACATTATCAAAATAATAAAATTAATATTATGATTAATTTTTGAAGTCATATACTAATCACACTATAAATTCCTTTTCATCCAATTAGATTGCAGTAGATGTTCTACGGACATCAGCTGAGCCTGCCAAGGAGGATTTTGGTACGTATCACATTTTTTTAATTTTATTTAAAACCAAATAAATGATCATGATGTTTCTCAACTCTGTAAATATCGTAATAATTTCAGAGGATAAGAGTAATATAT